AAATAAACATATGGAGAAATGTTTAACATCATTAGTCATTCGAGAGATGCACGTGAAAACAATGCTGAGATTCCACCTCACCCCAGAAAGAATGGCCGCTATCAAGAAATCAACCAATAACAAATGCTTGCAGGGGTGTGGGGAGAAAGGAACCCTGCTCCATTGTTGGTGGGAGTGCAGACTGGTGCAACCACTATGGAAGTCAGTATGGAGATACCTCAAACAACTAGGATTGGAAGTCCCATTTGACCCAGCTATTCCTCTACTGGGGATCTTCCCCAAAGAATTAAAAGAATCATACCACAGGGATATATGCGCACCCATGTTTATAGCAGCACAGTTTGTAATAGCTAAAACTTGGAAACAGCCCTATTGCCCATCAACTGGAGACTGGATAAAGAAGATGTGGGGTTTTTTTATAAAATGGAGTACTACTCAGCCATAAAGAATGAGAAACTAGAGACATTTATAGCTAAGTGGATGCACATTGAGGCCACACTCTTAAGTGAAATAAATAGGACACACATGCGTAAATACTGAATAGTTTCTCTGGTGTGAAAAACTAAAAGTGTAAATAAGGATCAAAATGTATAATTGATATTGTGAAATAGGAAGAAAAAGTTTAAAGGGATAGGAGAAGTGCAAGGGAAGGGGAAAGGAAAGAAGGGAAAAGAAAAAATATGAGGAAAGGAAAAACATGGGAACAAAGTCTTTGTAAATAGGGAAGGGTGGAGGGGGTGGAGGGCAGGGGAATAGGGAAAAAAATAAGAACCAAGATACATCATGTAAAGGTACAAGATCCCAATGATGAATGTAACTGTACTGTATACCTAAAATGTACCAATAAACTAAATGGAGAAAAAAAAGAAGAGTACATGTTCCAATCCCATTTTAAAAAAAAAGAATTAAAGAGATCACATTACAGTGATACATGCATACCCCTACCCATAATAGCTAAATCTTGGAAGCAGCCTATGTGAATGGATAAAGAAAATGAGGTGTTCATACACAATGGAGTACTATTCTGCTCTAAAGAAGGATAAATTTGAGTCATTTGTAGGAAAATGGATGTACCTTGACAACATAATGTTAAGAGAAGTAAATCAGATACACAAGTTGAAATATCACATGGTTTATCTTAGTCAAGAAACCCAAAATACAAATAAAAAGCAAAATAAAAGATAGATAATAGGAAGTAGGGAGATCAGTCTCTTTCAAATGGGAAGGGAATCAGTAGATGGAGGGAGAGGAGGAAGACAGGATAAGGGCATGAAAGAGTTGAGATGTGTTATGTACATGCGCCAACTCCCCACAAGAAAAAAAAATTATTTTGTGATGAAAATATATACTACCCCTGTATGGTAGTGCATGCCTATAATCTCAGCACTCAGGAGGCTGAGACAGGAGGATTGCCATGAGTTCAAGGCCAGCCCGGGCTACACAGCAAAACCCTGTCTAAAAAAAATGTATTAATGAAAAGGAAAAACTGGGAGGGAGAGAAGAATGGCCACCATCAACAAGACAAAGAAAAAAAATGGCAACAAGGGTGTGGAAAAAGGGCAACTCTTATTCCCTGTTGGTGAGGATGTAAATCAGTAAAGCCATCATGGAAAACAGTATTGGCGTTTCTCAAAAAGATCAAAGTGAAACCACTGCATGATCCAACAATCCCACTACTAAGTACATATCCAAAGGAGTTGAAACCAGAAATAACCATCTTCTCATGTTAGATGAAGTGCTATTCATAGCAGCCAAGACAGGGAATCCATGTGTCCAGGGAAGATGAGCGGATGAGAAGGTGATGGTATACATATAATGGAATATTACTAAGCCATAAAAAGATGATGAAATCCTGTCTTTCGCAGCAATGTGGGTGGAACTGAAGGACATATAGTACTCCGTTCTCACTCATGTATGGCAGCTTCAGACGGTGAACTTGGTTGTGTGGGGTGGCAGGCACCTGTAGTTCCAGCTTCTTGGGAGGCTGAGGCAGGAAGATAACTTGAGCCCAGGATGTTGAGTGCAACCTGGGAACACAGCAAGATCCTATCTTTAAAAAGCAGAAGCAGAGAATAGAACCGTGGTTGTGAGAGGATGGGATGAGGAGGGGAAGTGAGGATGAAGAAGGGTGGGTAGCAAGTACAAAATTGATTGGTGGGAGGAGTAAGTGCTGATGTCCTACAGCAGAGTCAGCAGTAATTGACTGTGCATTTTTAAATGACTGGAAAAGATGGTTTTGAATGTCCCCCACACAAAGAATCTATAAAAGTTTAAGGTGATGGGTATGCTAATGATCCTGATACGGTCATTTCACATTGAATACACGCGTGTATCACAATATCACACTGCACCCCACAAATACGTGAAATTATTAGGTGTCAGTTAATAGCTCAATGGTACAGCACTCGCCTACCACGCAAGAGGCCAGGGTTCCATCCCCAGCACCAAATAAAAAAGCAATCCGAAGCCTCCTTCTTACTGTTACTAAAATTCAACTCGCCCTCCATAGTTGAAAAGTCCTTCCCTATTTTGGAAGAGGAATGTGTCTATTTTTAAAATCCATTTGAGTCCATCTTAAAAGTGTTTTAAAATGTGAAGAGGGTTTGCCCTCTTTGGAAATCAGAAGCAGCTTTTCCAGCGGGGGATCCTGTTCTTGGTCACTAAGGAGATGAGGGAGAGGAAGGGCCCGTGAGTTGTCTGCCTGTCAGGCAATCCTGGTGGCTGCACCGTGCCTGGGAGAGGGCGCTCTTTGCCCTGAGAGGGGAAAACACTGGGCAGGTGGAGTTGAGGGAGCTCCAGTGGGCGCCCAGCTCACAGCCTTCCTCCCCTTCACTTCCTCTGTGATGAAGCGCTGGCTCCCTCTGCCTCAACGCTCACCTGTTGGAACTGATGGCGTCTAATTTTTGCAGCCCCCTGGCAGGAGTAAACTTCCATCCCTCTGAAGCAGGAGAAATATAACAGGGTGACCTTCCTCACCAACTCTTTTAGTGAATGCATCTGGCAATCGGCACAGCAGAGGTCACCGTGCCAGAAGGAAGCCTGGGGCCACCAGCAGCCGGGTGCCCGGGAGGGGCCTCTACACCACAGCAAACCCCCGGTCTGCGCCCTTTCTGCTGGGCTTTCGCCCGCAGCTCCGTCTGCACCAGAAGGACATCCAGGCCACCAGGCTCAGAGCTTCCCCATAGAAACCTGGGAAGGAAAAACTCAGAGAAGTCGAGAGAGTTTTCCTCCTTCCTGCATTTTCTGTCCTTCACTTGCACAGGAAGAGAAGCCCTCAGCTTCCAGAACATCCTAGGAATGACTAGGGTTGGGGTCGGGTCTTTCCACCAATGTCACAAAATCCAAATTCACAGCTAAAACCAAACAGGGAGGGTGGCCGGGGCTCTGTGTGGTTGCCCTGGGACTTTGTAGTCTCCACCTGCCCTGGTGGGTCAGCCTGGGGACAGCCATCTGGAAGCAAGTGCAGCCACGGCAGCAGAGTGCCCGCCCCACCCCAAGGCCTGAAAGTGCAGCTTGTTATGCAGCAACATGTAATGGTGCCCTATTGATGTCTGAAATAAAGGCTTAGGGGTTGCTGCTGTTTTGTTTTTGTTTTTTTAAATTGGAAGCCCAGAATTGATACGGCAGCAGCTTCATGATGGGGAACTTAAAATCCTTCCATTTTTATGCTGCATCATCTTTAGCTGTGGCTTTCATCCTCAAAGTTGTCTCATGATCCAAATAGTTGCTAGAGCTCCAGCCATCACATTGTTTTTCCATGAAAGAAGGAACAGAAAAGGCTTCTTCTAGCTGAGTTGGCCCCCTTTAAAAGTGCTTTCATAGAAGCCCCACCCAAAGACTAGCAGCTTGAGTCTCATTGGCTACTTTGAGTTACACAAAAGGACAGGAAATGTCTTTTAGATGAGAACATTGCCCCCTAGAACAAATTCAAGAGAAGAACAGGGACTGGGCATTGGGTAGGTGACCCGCAAAGCCTCCCACAGCCTGTAGGAAAGCAGGCTCTTGATAAATCAAGTGCAAAACTGCTCCTGAGACATGCAGCAGATGTGGCGATTTCTCCGACCTGCAGGAACAAGAGTGTAAAGTCTCAGCGAGGAGTCACCAGCCTGCTGCTCACCTGCGCCCTTCACTGGGAACACAGTGGGGAGAGTTTTATTCTCAGGGCTCGAGGTTCTCGCCTGGCCATGTTCTCTATTCATCTGTTTTCCCTTTATAGAGATTCCCATCACATAAAATTCACTGCTTCGGGGCACACAGTTCGGTGGGGTTCGGTGCCCACTGTGTAACTATCAGCACCATCGCCCTGCCAACCACTTCCACGGTGCTGGAAAGAAACTGTCCCCATGAGGTCAGGCCAGAGGTGGCCCTTGATCCTCCACCCAGCCCCAAGGCCACCAAAGAACCACACTTGCCACTTGGGTGCCTGTTTGTGTCCTCGATAGCTCCAAGCCTGGGTTCTGGGACGTTTCGGGTATTTGTGGGAAAGTCAGGGATGGGGACTCAGTGCATTGGCCTGGAGCAAGGACAGAGGTCTCCCACGATATGTCCAACTCTGCACGGGCACAGGGTTGGCTGCCTGTGAGCTGCAGGGGAAAAGGGCAGGGGCGGAGGCAAGGGGCAGAGCATCCTCGACATCTCTCCAGCCTCCTGCCCAGGAAGCCACAGAAGCAGTGAGGATGCTGACAGGGGCTTCCTAGATTCACGCGGCTCTCATCAGTGTGGCAAGGGCCAGGGCAGGGAGGATAACGCTCACAGTTATTAACTGGAGTCTCCCTGCTCCGCTCCTGGTGTCCTGGGGCTGGGGACTCATTTCACAGGGCAGGACATGAGGCTCACAGAGAGAAGTCCCAGCTCTGACAGGGCACCCAGAGCTGTGCCACATGGAGGCACCTGTGGACACGCATCCTGCCCCAGCCCCCAGCAGGGGCAGCCACCCCATCAGTGGCTTGGCCCTTGCCGCCTTCAGGGCTGTGGCATGGGGACCGGGCTCGGCAGAGCTCAGCCCTGGGCTTCCGGAGCCGGTGGGAGCCTGGCATGAGCAGCCCCTCCCTCCTGCCTGCTGACTGCCCTCCCCTCCTCAGGCAAAAGGTTGCTCAAGGAGACTCCAGGATTTGGGGTCCGCCTGGCCACGTCGCCAGGAGTCCTTTTTGCTGAGCATCTTGTCAGAGTTCCCCAGCAGAGCTCACAGAGCCTCAGGAAGCAACGGGAAGGAAGCTGAGGGATCCTGGCTACACCGAGCCCAGGTGAAGCAGCCGTGAGGCTGGACTGATGGGGAGGCTGGCATGTCACAGGTCTGGTGCCAGAGCCGGGGGGTGGGCAGCCTAGAAGGCTTGGAGATGCTGCCGTTTGGGGGCTGGAGGGGTCAGCGTGTGCATGTGTCATGGGGTGGGAGACTACAAAGGGAAGGGGAGGGCCGTGCGTGAGGGAGGATATATATGCTGGTGTGGCTGCCACGGAGGGATGGAACCTCGCATCCTAGGCAGCCCGAGAAGGACAGCCAGCACCCAGGTAGGAGCTGCGTGCGACCCACCGTGACTAACTGCCTGGGGAGAGCAGGGCAGCCCAGGCCAGCCACTCCGCCTCTGTCCTTTGTCCAGCCTGCCTGCTGCTGGCCTCTCGTGAGATGATTTCTTCATTCATCTTATTTTCAGTGCTCAGATGGTGGGGAAGGGGGAGGGCCAAGGGTTTTTGTGGGTTTGGTTTGGTTTTTTTCCTTTTTGCAATCTCAGAGAAAGATGCAGAAGGAAAAAAACTGAACTTGGAAATGGGGAAAAGTTTTGTTTCCCGGCCTGTGGACCCTACTTGGTCACTGCTCTCTGAGGAGAAGAGGTGGCCACAGGAGTGGGGTCAGGCCAGCAGCAGGCACTGGGAGGGGGCTTGCATTTGGGGGACCTCCAGGACCCCGGAGAGGGCTTTCTCCCTGCTTCTTGCCCTTCTCTCCTGCGTGCAGGTTGCTTCCCCGCATTTCACTTGATGCCTTTCAGATTTGAGGTTTGAATCCGGGGGGAGCGCTCTTCCTTCCACCCCGAGGAGACGTTGCTATTAATGCAGGACCTGTGGGTCTCGCTCGGATAGATGCACGGAGAGAATTTTGCAGAGAATTTCTGTGGCCATGACCTTGATCGCCTGGGGTCTCCTTTCTCTCTTGGCATCTCTTCCTCTCCGTCCGTCTCTCCCACCTAACGGTCTCTGCCCGGGTCACACAGACTACTCCATTCACGAATCGCAACATCTAAACTCTCACCACCACCGCAGCCTCCTCCTCCTCCTCCTCCTCCTCCTCCTCC